TAGTGAGAGGAAGTCATTTGGGTTTTACTCAAATACCTTTTTTTTGATATGCAGTTTCACCTTAACCTGCTTAAGCAACTGCATATTCCTGAAAGGAAATATATAGTTGCACCATATGACAATTTACAAGCTAAACTAACCTTTCTTTGTTATAAAAAAAGTGAAATTATTTTATATTTTAAAAGACTTATTGACCTTGACAGAGTCATTTCAAATATTAATTAAGCAAGCAGTGAATAATAAAATAGTATCCCAAACTACTTCATATAGTTTTCTTTTTGAAGAATATAATTGTTTTAATGAAGCTTTGTTCTTCATTTTGATATCGGGATAGTTGTACTATCCAGACATCAAAATTGATTTGTAATCAATGCAATGGATGGATTAGCTTGATTCTACTTTCGATAAAGCCTCTAAGCCTTCAGTATGTAGAACACCCGTGCAAACTAGTGACCGGCTCATAACTCTGCGCGATGCTGAGCGCTGATAGCTTTTCCAGAAGAGCCTTTAAACTTCACTTCTCTCTCTGCGAGCTGTCCAGGAGCCTCAGGGGGAACAGGTTTCATACATTAATCAAAGAAAAGTGCAAAAGCACAACGCAGTGTCTCCACAGGATAACAGGCCACTTCTCGGTTTGGCACGCCGCTTTGAAAGCTTGTATAAAAGCCAGAGGCGATTCATGTGCTTTGTGTCCTTGTAACGTAGGGCATGAAAACTCACTCTTCGGGCCCAACAAAGTGGAACCCATATGAACAAATAAACAGAGGTTCTCTGATCTTACAAGGTCCAAAGTAGGGGATGTTGTTTGCTATTTTTAGAGGTAAAAAATAGAAAGGTTATTTATTCTGAAGGCACATGAGTGCTACAGATGTGAGTTTGGTGAAAGAGCCTGTGGCTCTTGAACAACTCACGGACATGCCTCGAAGTTTATTTACATTTGTAAAGTAGATGATGTGTGTCCATCTGATGTGTGCACATAGCTGTTGATTGACAGTGCATGTGGAATAACTATAATATTACACTGTGTACGTAATCTAGTTACTGTGTGTGTATGTAATAGGGGTGTCACGATTCTCCAAATCCTCGATTCGATTACATTTTCGATTCTAAGGTCACGGTTCGATTCGATTCTCGATTTTTACATTTATTTTTTTAAAGCCGAAACCGGCCAATCAGGATGCTCTCTGTCTTAATGCGCTTCATGAGGCACATGCGCAAGATCTCTCGCTCTCTCCCGTGCGCGCGCTATACGGTTTGGAGCACAGTTTTTTCTGTCTCACATTGCGCGCTCTTGCTCGCTCGCTCATTCCGGGAGATTAATGCGGGCATCAGGGAGCCGCTATCAGGGAGACTCCAGGAACTTCTGCGAGACTTGGGATGTGTGCAAAGTAAACTGTGGCTTTTTTTGAAGCGCGAACGTAACATAACTCACTGGAAATTCAAAAAACTTACACACCTGCGACTTCAATGAAAGAGGAGGGGGTTCAAGTTCTGTCGATGGGTCTCCTGCATCTGCTGCAGTTGCCATGCTATCTTTTGAATGGTTGTAGCTAAGTTAGAGGAGGTTGCCCATATACTCGCAGCTTTTCAACACGCGTGTTTTTTTTCGCTTGGCACGCCGACCGGACGTGACATGGGGGCGTGGCAGCATCGACGATTCCATTTTTTAATTCGATCGATTCGAAAAAAAATTAATTTCGATCGATTCCGATTTAAGATCGAAATCGTGACACCCCTAGTATGTAATGAGAAAGTTGACTTTGTGTTTTACAGCGATGACTGCTGTATGCATAAATGCATAGATACATTTTTGTTTTATTGAAACAATAATCTAAAAGAGACTGTGTGTTACATTAATTTTTACCACATATAAGGGCCTGTTTACACCTGGTCACTTCATGCGTTCTTACTGATCAGGTAGCTATCTGGTTTGTTAAAATGGAAATTTGTTCCATTTACACTTGGACACATAAATGTGTCTCCGCAAAACGAATATAAATCCAAACCTCAATTCCCTGCGCTACATACGGTATATGCAAATTTAATGAAGTTTACATCAACGAATGCAACAGAGCTGCATTTTATTTATCATCAGTTAATTTCAAGATCAAAGATCGCACATCAGCACTGGTAAGATCATTTAGTCTCACTGCTTTTAATAAAGATGAATGCGTGTTGAGGGTCTGCAACTTACTTTGTTTCATTTGCGGCAGTTTTAGCGTTGGCTTGCTGAAGAGATGCTCAGCTACTCATCTGTGTTGATGCGTGTTTCAGTAGCGTTGTCATATCTGGCTATAACGTCATATAGCCTATAACCCGCTCTCACACTTTTATTTTTTAACATTTTAGGAGTAAAATCTACATATGTGGTTTCAACAACCAGATGTATTTACACTTGCCCAGTTTCGTCTGGAATCATTTAATGCAATTATAATAAAATGATTTATTTAAGACACTGAAACCTTAATATTTAAATTTATTTAAAATAATTGCTTTGCATTGTGCAAAATTATCACAAAGTAGGAATCCTTTTCTATTGATTCTTTTCTATGTCTCCTCATTTACATGGAACAATGATGCAAACATGAGTTCCATCAACGGCTCCAACAACTCCAGGGAAGCCCAAAATTCTCATAAATGGTTTGATTTTGCTGCATGGTTTGAAGATCATTTGGAAAGTCAATGAACTGCCATACAGTAGTGGCCAAAAGTGATGTCCGGCATAGGAAAATTAACACATTCACCCTTTATTTAAATATAAAAAATCAAAATAAATCTTAAAGATGTTGTTAGCATATTGCGTACTTGTGCTTGGAGTCAATTGTTTTATTTGTGATAATTTAATGAAACATGCCAAATTGTGCAACATAATTTTTGGCCAGGCTGTCATACAAAGAATTTAAGAACATGAGCAAAAACAAGAGAGGACCAATGAAATATTAATAACTGATTACACTGTTTTTTCCTTTGAGCTTTTTTTTTTCTTTTCTAAAACCTGTAGCTGTATTTTTACTTTTTTTGCCTAATAATTTTGTCAGATAAATACTTTCAGTAAGTTTAGTGTTTTGTTCTTCCCTCGTATAAAAAAAAAAAAATATATATATATATATATATATATATATATAACAATATTTTCCTCATATTTTTAATAGTTTAATGTGCGTAAAATTGTGCGGCCTCCTCCTCTCTGCTGCCATCTTGTTACTCCTAACTAGGTTAGGATACCTCTCCAGCACTCTTAAATAATTTAGGAGCTGAGACCTAGTCTTGACACTTAGGAACATTTATGAATCACTTATTCTTAAGTCTAGGAGAGTAAAATTACTTCATTCCTGGAATTTTGACACCCTTAAGACTAAAAAAATTATCTGAGCGGCTTTATACATACGGCCCCTGGTCTTTTCATAATCGGATAGCTATCTGATCAGAGAAAATGCATGAAGTGACCCAGTGTAAACAAGCCCTAAGAGCTGTTGTTAGGCAATATTATTCCTCTGCAAAATAATATAGTGCACTGTTTGTTGGTTTCCTGAAAAATTCCATACATTTCTCCATAGATAATTAAAAATCAGAAAACAGTTGTGGTGTTTAATAAGAAATGCTTATAAAATAATTTCTGAAGGTGACTCTGAAGACTGGATTAATGACTGCTGAAAATTCAGCTTTGCCATCACAGGAATAAATTAGATTTTATAAATTAAATATATTAAAATTTAAAACAACTATTTTAAATTGTAATACAATTGCACAATATTACTGTTTTACTATATTTTGATCAAATAAATGCAGCCTTGTTGAGACTTTTTTCAAAAACAATAAAAGAAATCTCACTGACCCCAAACTTTTTCATGGAAGTGTATATTGAGCTAGAAGTTTTTTGGCTTTCAACCAGTGGCTATTATCACAAAGCTGCATTTTGGATGTACAAAGCTCATGTAGAAGAAGAACTCAAAGAATAGTCTTTAATGAAACAATCCAAACACAGTATTTCACAGGAAAATGTCACAGGGAGCAAAAACCAACCACTTTAACCAAACATTAGCAGAAGGGGAACTAACTCAAACTGAGGGCTTATGCTGCGTTCCAGGCAGGTTTTTGAGCACGTAAATTACGACTTCAAACCACAACTCACGACTTTGTAGCATTCCAGGCCAGTCACGCCAAACTACCTGAGCGCAAGGAATTGTGGTAGCTAGATGTAAACAAACCAGCATGGTGGACCTTACGGGGCTTGTGCGCATTTGTAATAATTTCTGTCGCCAAAGGTGCTTACTCCTTGTTTATTTGAGGGAAACGGAGGAGGAAAAACGGCACATAAGGCAAGATAAGCTGTTATACCTTTTATTTTACTTTATTTGTATATTTGGAAATGTATTTGGTATTAATTTATCCTTGCGCTCAATGGACTGAAAACTAGTTAACGTGATATTGTCCTAAAGTGTATTCTCACCGTGTACCGCCTGCAGAAACACTGCATCTGTAGGGGCTGCCATTGTTGTTTTGTATGGTTTCGCGGGCTATGTGACGTCAGAGCTCGTAACTGGGAGTACATCGATCTAGTACGAGTTCACGGGTGGGAAGTCACGGGTTTGACTGCCGTTCCAGTGCACTTTCACGGGTATAAGGTTGGAAAAACACGGGTTACAGGTTGCCTGGAATGCGGCATTAAATACACAGAGCATAGGAAACTAGATGGCACACAGGTGAAGGGGTTTAATAACGAGGAAAATCAAAACAGTAACTATGACAACCAATAAGAAGTGGGAACATGGGAAACTAGGTCAAACTAAACAGGAACATATATTATACTGTGTATTTTTTTTCATAACATCATTTGTATTATTTAATTGGGATCCAGTTCATTGTTTAATAAATATTATTACGTACACAATACGGTACATTTGTCTTAGATTTCCAAAAAAATAAAGCATTTACGTGGAAGCACCCGTTTAATAAACTGACATGTTACAATGTTTTTTTTTTTTTGCCATCTTCTGCAGGTCAAGTCTGATGACAGGAGGAAATGGGTCGGGACCGGCAGTGAACCCGTGGCTGATTAATGAGTCTGAGGAGACCAGAGGACTCGGCTTTGGAGAAATCAAACACCAACAACAGCAGATTATCGAAGGTACGTTGCATATGAGATCACTTTTCAAGTCTTTCAGTCTTACAACTGATGTGGTGCTTGACATTGCTTCAAGCTGACAATTATCTGGCCACCTCTCTCTGCTGTCCAGATAATCATCTATATTCTGATGAGATGAGACATTTTGAGAAGTATTTTTTGAATTTACGCCCCATTATGAGATCTGCTACGCATTTGAGAATAGCAACTGGTAGGAGTTTTAAGAAAAAGCAGGAGCCGTTTTGTCTACCCAAGTTATACTTTTAGCTTCAAGGTTACAGCTAAAGTACCTTGTGGCTCACTGTGGCAGCGACCTCTGTCAAAAATGACATCAGATCACACTACTGTATATGTCCTTTAAATGCCACAGATGGAATTTATGTACCTTTCTATTGTTTTTCCAACCCAAATGAGATAAGATTTTTCTTTTCCGTCAACGTATGATAATTTACTTGATAAATTAAACCACAGAAACATAAAATATCAGAATATTTCGGGTCTGTGTCTTTTTGTCTTTCTTTTGTACAGTTCTGTCTGAATATGTCCATATTCTCTCTTGTGTCTTTAGCTCAGGATGCTGGCCTGGATGCTCTGGCTGCAGTCATAAGTAGGCAAAAACAGATGGGTCAGGAAATCGGCAATGAGCTAGAAGAACAGAACGGTAAGTGAAAAGCGCAGTAGCCTATATGTGACAGCTCTGGCTGAACATTCAGATGTTTTTCTGTGAATAACATCTAATTTGTGGTCAGGTTGGTTTTACTTTGTCAAGCCGCTCTCTTGCTACACTACATGTGAAGTCATTGGCTCTAAAATGAGCCTTTTTTGAGACTGGGTTAAAGTGGAAAATGTGGAACAGGGTACTTGGAAACCCCCTCTCACCTGGTCTGTCTATCGCGTTTTTGCTGGGCAACTAAATATAAGACCTGTGTCCTTTGCACAGACACATCACATAACTGTGTGAATCTATTTCAGTTCGAATGTGAGAACGTGGAGGAATTGCACAGTGCATGATGTAGTCGAAGTCACATGGAGGAGACTGAGCTCAGATCAGTAGTCTGTGACCTCATCTGAAGGTTGCAGCTGCTTTTAACTTTTCCAACACTGTTCTTCAATCTGTCTGGCCTAGCTGGTAAAGTGAGACAGGCTAGAGTGGGGAAAACCTATATATAATTATAAATTTTTTAAGTGAGATATTTTATCCACCAAGATCATTTGGCTGAAATACGATATTTTCTCAAAATGATCAGCCACACTGACATTCAATAAAGAGTGCTACTTTAGTATGAATTGTCAGGGTTACAGCTATTAAAAAAAAAAACAGATAAACCAAAGCTGCAGTTGTTCATTTAAAGCACTTAGTGATGTTACTTGGCACTCTAGCGTAATAACTTTGTGTCTCGCGGAAGAACATTGTAGCCGGAGTTACTTCTCTCTGTTTATGTCTGTGATGAGTTACGCTGGGCTACTCCGCAGCGGTACGACCTGTGCCAGTCTAAAATAGTCTGAATATAAACACTTATTATAGGTGTACCGTGGTGATTCAGGATAAGACAAAAACACGGTTTGAAAATGGATTCATGATTTAATCGCTTATCAAAATTTTGTAAATTCTGAAAAATCAAAAGGGTTACGGACTGGAGATTTAATATTCCTAAATGTTGCATTCTGTCCAACTGCTTTGTAGTGAGAAATGAAGTATCATGTGCGAATGTCTTTTTAGGTCTTACTCGGATATCGAGTAAGATTTCATGTTATCTTATCTTATTGCAATTATAACAATTTCGAAGAGCAGCCATCACAATCTTGTGTCAGGTATGTGAACCAACTCATACACAATCTTAAATGCAAAATCTAATGGGTAAACATTTCAGTTGAAGTCAATTCTGTGACCGTGCATCTTGTGTCTAAAAAAAGAAATCCTGATGCAAGTTCACCTCCTCCCTGTTGCTTTTGTTGGCACAGTGAAGGTTGCCCACAATACTTTTTCAGGGGGCAGCGTAATTGCTATGGACCACTTCCAGTGTTACTAGTCTTTCCTGTCTGTTCAACAACTGGCTCCTTAAAAACATAAGACAGAGTCTAAAGGTCACAATTGGTATTTTTATTGAATAGAGATGAGCACATGAATTAATTGAAAGAGTGATTGAAAAAGATAATGAAACTTTTATAAGTACATCCAGAGATTAGTTATTTAACATAGCCTAAACAAATCTAAGGTTCATCATTATTGTGACCCTCTGGTGGAGACTAACGCTGGGAATTGGAGGCACTTGGCTGCTTCTCACCGTTATTCAGGGCTCAGTGTGATTGATTTAGTCTGCTTCACGCTTTCCCCAACTAAACATAGGAGTGAGAATGAATTATTTGAACTGGACTCACATTTTTCTCCCCTCTTTTGCTAAAGCGTGCAGCATCAGTGTTTCCTTGAAAAAGAGTTTTAAGAGCAGTGACTGAGATAGCATGGTCTCGTATTTGAGAGCTGATAGAGTTACGGTGCTGTTCTAATGTACAGTCCAACAAACCTCTCCTGCAGATTTCATCTGCAAGAGTCTTTTTCAAGCAGTCAGATATAAAGCCTCTCCCATGTGTGTATTAAAGTCCTGCTTTCCTCTGGAAACCAGCCGTGAAGAGCTGTCACAGAAGGTCTTGAGCAGAGTCCTCTAGAAGGAGACTGAAGAGTGGGTTCCTTCCAAAATGCTGTAACTTTGTGCTCCTGATGCACTTTATATAAAAAGAGTTTACAGCACAGTACAGTGTCTTTAGAAAGCATTCATGCTGATACTTTTATTCAAACATATTTTTTGCCTTTCAGTAACACTAAATGCAACACATTCATGATTCATTTCTGATTAATTCATCTGATTAACACAATTAAAGGGATTTTCTAAAATTCACAAGTCAGTATGTATTACCCTCATGTCTGTAATACTTATTTTTTCTTCTGTGGAACACAAAAAGATATTTTGAAGAATGTTGGTAACCAAACAGTTTAGGTTCCCATTGACTTCTGTTATGTTTTTAGACCACACAATCAATACAAGTCAATAGGAACCAACATTTTTATATGGAGTTTTTTCATATAGATTAGTATTGGTTTTGGTGATATTGTACTACTTTATGTAAGGCCTGCCCAATCGGTCCAATGACAGTTTCCGATAAGCGGGTGAAGGTTTACTGCGTGTTACTATCTTTTCAGCGTGGCAAAGTAATTTAATTCCAATTAAACTTTTATCTAACTCCATTTTTATAACGACCTCGATCTACATTCTGGCTTAGCCTTTGGCTAAGCCACACCCTAGAATGTAGATTGACCAATCACAGCGCAGCCAAGAACGAGCTCCCACAGTGGTCCGACACTTTTTCACAGCGCTCCATTGACTTTAACACAGGTGTCTCATATTCTTGGTCTCGGCAGGCTACCGTCGTAGTTTTATCAAAAATATGGTTAAACGTTGTGCCTGGGGCATTTGTAACACAGATACGCGTTTCCCAGAGAGGTTGGAGGGGGGTGTGCGTTTTTTTCCCTTCCTAAAACCGAAGTCAAATCCTGACAAGTGTCGTCTATCACACGCTGCTAATAAATACAACGTTATACTCGCGTAGTCCGTTTGCTTTGTAATAACGAAGTGAATAGAGACCTACCCAGCTTTGCATGAACAGTGTTGCTCCTTGATATTGTTAGTCCCAGCCTCAGTCTCGATTAGTAGGATATGCGGTGGTTCATTTTTTTACTGTGACCGGTATGCTTTTGCCTCTATTTGGATGCCTTGTTGTTCCTTGCGTTTCACCTGTATGTCGTGAATATAGCCTTCAAACGTATATTGCAGCCCTTTTTGCCTACTTCTATCGGACACTTTATTTGCTGCTTTATAAAAGTTTGATAAAATTTCAGCAAGAAGAGCTGTCACAGCATAAGCCATGTTGATACCAGAGCCCAGATGAAGTTTGTTTGTCGGACGTAGCAACAGTAACTAAGGGGGGCGGGGCTTAGCCAAAGGCGAATTGGTTATTAGCCAGAACTCTAAAATCGCAGTTGGTGCGCCCCAGGCTCCACTGTAAACTGGACTCTAAGTCCGTCACTAATCTGACGCAGATTTGCGGAAACAATGGATACAACGTAATCTACTAAATAATTTAAGTAAATAATTTAAAGTAAGTCAGGATAAATTCAAATGTAACAATTTATTATGTCAGGTAAATGTATCATGCCAATTACATAATCAGTTCAAAGATAATAAATACAAAACATCAAATGCTCTGGAATAAAAAGAACATATGCAAACCTGACATTAGAAAAATACATAATGGTGAATGTCTGAAGACATTCAGCATTACGGGCTGACTACAAATCGCCCCGATCCTCTTGTGGCATTTCTTTAAGTACTTAGACCGAGGCAGAAACTTCTTTCACATGGAAACATGTGCTAACAATGGGAATTTGCAATCGGAGTTTGCACCTTTTGAGGGCAGGATACCATTTGCCTGGAAGATTTACCCTTTGTAAGGAAGACTTATCTTTATTATCTTTTGGTTTACTTCTTTGGAATGAGACCATTGTACCAGCGGCACTGAGACATTTCAAATGATACCAAACATGTATAGTGTTGTATGATAATTGTTCTCATTAAACCATTTAGATTTTTGGGTGAATTTCAGGTGATCTCAGCATGAGAGAGAGACGAAATGGGGAAGGGAAAGAAATGTAAATTAATACAATACTGAGTTGATTGCCCTTAGTGTGATTTCGTCTTGCATGGGGAGTTCAAATTTTAATTTCCTTTGTTTTCTCAGAGAGTAGCCCTCTCTTTCAGTTTCTCCAGTCTTACACTTAAAAGATGTATTAAACAAATAGTTAAATATTTGTGTATTTAAAAAAATACTTTGGGGGATTATACATTTGGGGATGATTAATCACAGAAAACTTTGCATTATAAGTAGTTCAATTTTAAAATAATTCTAATCAAAAATAGTAAAAATTAATAAAGTCTGGCCAATGATTAAAGTCAAGACTTCATGGTTGTACTGTGTTCAAGAACACTGTCAGTTTTCAGTATTTCTATGAGCTTTGTGTATTGGAATTTTAAACTATACCAAATTAGCATTTGCACAATGCACTTTCCTGGTCATGCCATAGTTTGGATTGAAGTCTGGGCTCTGACTGGGCCATTCCAGAACTACTACCTTCTTTTTTCCAAGCCATCCCTTTATAGTTTAGCTGTGTGCTGTTGATTATCGTTGCTCTGGAAAATGTATCTTCAACCTAAATGCAGATCTCTGACTGACTCAAACAGCTTCTCTCCAAGTGGTCCAAAAGCATCCCCAGAGCATGATGCTGCCACTACCATTTTTGATGCTGGGTTGGTTTGCGCCAAACATTCTATTTTGCTTTAGGTGAATCGACCTTGGACTAATCAGACCACAAAATTCTTCCAGAAGGTTTGGAGTGGCTTTAAAAGTTTTGTCACATGGCTTCTAGCAAACTTTAGCCGTGATGTAATGTCAGTCTTTTTCGAAATTGGCGTTCTTATAGCCATTCTCATGAAGAGAGGCCGAATCATTGAAGTGTTGAAGGAATTGTTGACGTCTACATAGTTTCCCCAATTTCATCCAAGGAACTCTGCAGCTCTGTCAGCGTTGTAGCTGGCCTCTGATCATTTCTCT